GCCTCCCTTCATCATTTTCTTCACCCGGAGCCATGGCGTTAGGTTCATATTGCCTTTGATTTTGCTGTGCGTGGCTTTGTAAGGAATCACATCCAACTTGCAACGTATGCAGCTACCCACCATGGCTCCAAACCACCCACTCAGACCTAAGTGTAGCAGAATTTGCCTAGTATTTCATGACATGGACCTCATCTTCCAGTAACTTTCCTCCTGTTACAGATTTTGCAGAACACGTCTGCAAATCATCATGCAGCTCTGTGCAAGAACGACAATGGCTTATGGGGAAAGTATGGTATTGGGGAGTAGATTAAGTTTATATTGCTATCATTTGAAATGCTTCAGCAGTCTCAGTCTCTTATTTTGTGGAGGCTCCAACACCATGTAGCCAGCTGGTTTTGTCAGATTTTGAAGGTCAGTTTTGAAGTCCACTAGATCACCATGCGAGAGGGGTTAAGGGGCTGTTTTCCAGATACTAGGGAAAAAAAAAAAACGTGTTAGCAGCTCAGCTCCATTTCTTTTGGGTTAGGATGTGAAAAAAAAAGTTTCAGTAATTCCTGGTCATGAGCACTGCTGCCAAGAGGGAGCGGTGGTAGCAGCTCAGGTCTGTAGGATGGGAGGGAGCGGGACTGGGGCTCTTACAGCTGTTTCTTACATCTGCCTTCAGCTTGCAATTTCAAAAAGAGCCCACTCTTTGCTCCCCTTGAAATTTGCAGAGGAGTGACCATCTCTGCATTGCTCTTTGGGAATGCTTTTCTCTTGGTATCTTGCTGTGACTTTCAAGGATGAACAGAAGCTTTCCCAGGAAGATTTGAAGAAGGTGGCAAAGGGTGGAAAAAAAAGATGTTCACCTGTCAAGGGCAAAGAAACCGGGGGAGGGCAGGTGGGGAAATGGTGCTGATTTGAAGCTGATGTTTGAGCTATGATGGAGTTTCAGTGAACCACACCACAAGGGCTGCTGACTCATTAAAAAGTGGAATACCCAAAAGGAAAGCAATGATCCCGGAGCAATTGCATCCATTATGGTATGTCAGACATGGCTTTGATTGCACAAGCCTATAATTAGTTACAGAGAATTGCGCTGTCTCTGAAGAAAGAACAGGAAACAAAAAGAATTATTCCCTGCGTTAGTGACTAGCTGGATCAGCGGCTAATGCTCAAGGCTTGCTTTAAATCAAATGTATTCACTGTTGATAGATTTATATTTGTTTTTGCCATTTCAGAGTAAATGTAATGATTCAGTAAAATTTAACAAATCTTAAGAGACCTCACAATGAAGATCTGAAAATGTAGGGACTAATTTTAGGGCTTGGTTTCTATCCACTCTGCATGTAAGAAACCTGCTTAAATTTTTGAAAATTATTTTGAAAAAGAAGATCTCTTGGCTTTGCGGTAGGAAGGAAAGAAAGAAAGGGAACAACTGAGTTTAATATGAACGGAAAATCGTAGTAATGGCTGCATTACATACCTGCTAACACTAGATGGGGGGTAAGGAAAGAGGGAAGGGGAAAGCCAGGGAACAGGAAAAACATG